CGGGAGTAGGATAAGGAGATGATGATGATTTGACTTATAACTTTCATGTTTTCTTTGTTTATTATATTTCTAATAATTCGCTTATTACTTTATTTAAAAATCAATTGAATAACTCATCTATTTTTAGGCCTAGATACTACGGATTAGCCGCTAGAGTGATAATAAATATAGATTTACATGGATTTATAAGTAGGGCATGAACAATGGCTCATCGCACGTTCTCTTTGCTTCTGTGTAACTTCACGCTTTGTTCGACAAGTTTCTAAACCTCTACTTAGCATCGAGAAGATTGTTATACTCAGATTTTATTTTATTTTTATCTTTGTTTTTTTTTTAAACGTCAATTTATTAGCATTATGAATTAGATTAGAATTATAAAGATTTTTACTACATCTGTACTATAATATTCTAATATTTGGATTTTTGTCTACTCAAAAACTACTGGAACGATTTTAGCAGCAGCTAGTTTCACACATATAATAAAAAAATATCATTTTAAAGGTTTTTTTTTTATTATTGTCCATTGTTAGATAAAGCATTATCATTATTATTTTTCATATATATGAATAAATGAGAAAATGTTTTCCACTACATATTTGCATTTTGTATAACGCTTTAGACGGACGAAGTTTTTACATCAACGGCCCAGTATAACTTAAACCTAACTTGATATGATAAAGTTACTTAATGTTGAAGTTAATCCTTTTGATATGATTATTAATTAATGGCCATTAGCATAACTAAAACAAAACATATTGTTATAAAGTTTCTTAAGTTTTGTTAGTATTACCTTCTTGTGTACATAATATCTAAATATATCAGTAAGTAATTATATTACACTAGCCTTGCTCGCAACTTCGTCTGCATGGAATGAAAAATAATTTTAACAGTGGTAGAGCCCGCTTTAACATCTTCGCAGGAATAGGCCACACAGAAGACAGGCGTTAAAAGGAAGCAATACCGCGTTTCGTCTGATGAGTGTGGTGCTGGAGGCCTAATTTTAGGCCCTTTCCCTTTCCACCCTTTTTTTTAGAGAAGGGATGGGAAGGAAAAGTGGATTTGACGGTGGAGGAGATGCATAGGAAGGGGAAATATCCTCTTTTTGTGCGTCTCCTCCACCGTCGATTAAGGGTAGGCAACGCATCTGCAATTGCGGATGTTTATGGGCAGCGGTCGCTTTCCATTTCAGGGGATTTAGGTGGCCGCTTGCTCGTTTGCCACCTTATGTTATTTAAAAAAAAGTTAAAAAATATAGCCCATGTTACACAGCCATAACGTACATGTTAACGAGGTAAGAAATTTTGAAATTGTATTTGATTTATTTCAATACATACAAAAATACAAATATTTCCTCTTTATAATATTAATATATTTGTATTGAATACAGTAATATATTAATTTGTAACAGACAAAATCCATTAAAAAAAAATATTCAAGGACTATTTTTAACGTAAGGAAAAATTAATTCCTTGAACAAACTAGTTATCGGCGGTACAGTTCCCAAGTTCTTATCAGCGGGGAAGAGGACAAAATTCCCCTGATATCGGGGTAGCCTCAGGACAAAAGACTCCAAGTTGGGAAAGATTTTATTGATAAAAATAAACTGCCTATTACTATCTACGTCTGTTATTATGTAACAATTTAATTTGAATCTAGACCTAAACTTAGGCTATGTCTATAGGAGACGACAAAAAATGACAAGCACCAAATCTTACTTCTTACTAACATTATAAATGCGAAAGTTTAGATGGATGGATGTTTGTTAGAGTTTGTAGCCTGAACGGCGAAATCGATGTGGATAAAATTTGACATAGATCTAGAGTATAGTCTGTAAGAATATATAGGCTACTCACTTTTGTATTTTTTATTCCGCGCGAACGGAGCCACGGGCGAAAGCTAGTGTAGTATAAAAATCAACCAGGAGCTAAAATATGCAATAACAAAAATACACACGAATTGAGTACCTTCTACTTTTGGAAGTCTGTAAAAAATGGTCTTATTTTTACCAGTTTTCATATCTAATTTACATTTTTGGATCTTCTAGCTGCACCCCAGCTGCCCATTTTGCTCCCCTCTTGGCCTCCATAATGCAATATAACAAGAGAGGTGTCACTAAACTTATTAGGAATCTAAATGCATCAATTTCCTATCAACGTTTACCTTTTGACCGACTTCCCAAAAGAAGGAAGTACTCAATTCGTAGGTATGTTTTTTTATGAGTGTTACTGCATAACTCCGCCGCTAGTGGACCGATTTTGATAATTCTTTTTTTATCCGAAAGGTAGTGCTTGCAGGTGGGTCCCATTTTGAGTCAATACAGCAGTTTAAAAAACTTATTAAAATATTGAGTAAACATAAAAATAGGTTATTCTAGGCTTTATACTTAAATAAATGGATTCATACAACGTCGAAGAAGGCACGCGTCGCAATATACAACATTGTTGGTCTCGTAAATATGTTTGAGTTTCCAGCGTGTGGATTAAGCGTTTTCGTTTATTTTAAATGCACGAGGAAATAAAATTATATTATCAATAAAATTAGAAAAGTACCAATTGCTGTTTAATTTAAATTAATGTGATTTGTTACTTTCAAATTATTATTTAAAATTGTAAATCGTTCCTTTTACAAAATAATTATAGTAACAAATAAATAAGTATTTTCTTTTTGGTATCTATTTGGGAATTGAAAATTGCTTAATTTATAAAACCTAGTGTATTACAAAAAGGCTATATGAAACAAAATATACGTAAGGTCCAGCAAAAAATCTGAATTAGTTATTTCTTTTAAAGTAGCGTCTAAATAATTTTAATTACGTCAAACATATCGCACCGTTATTTTTAATTTTTATTAAATTCATTTTTCTACATATAAAATTTTCTCATTAAATTTACTTACCTTAAATCAGCAAATTTCAATAAAAATAAAAAATCAAGCACTCTTCATAACTTTGATCGCAGATTGTGAACGCAGGAATGTTGAGCGCGTTGTCCGGCGCGCGGAAAACTAACTGTCAACTGCGGAAAGCGCGGGAAAACGCACGTACTTACGCCATCTGTCGACCAATGGCAGACGTCAGACGCCTCCGCAAACTTAACTCCACCAATCGAGTGAAAGGCGAAACATTAAAGGTTTAAAGGTTTTTTCATGTCGTACTATTGAATCACTTTAATTATCATAAACTTGCGAAATGCATTCGGATTTGCTTGGTCTTTTTATTTTACATCAACACTATATATTAACAAAATAGATAAAATATCTTGTCTATGATCAGGATAAGAAAGAATAAAAAGGTATTACTGTTTTACTTTCGCTCCATCCATACAATATAATTGCAAACAAAAATTGTTGTAAATTACTTGGTCGTAAAACGGTGGACTACACTATTATATCATTTACTAGCTAACTTTTTAAAATTCAAACTATAGACTAGACTTAGAAAATAGATTAAAAAAATATAACTCATGACACAAATTGACATACTATTTTTATTAGTACACTAACTGGCTTGCGACTTCATCTGAGTGAAATAAAAAAAAAACATAGCCTATATTACTCACAGATAAACCTTTCTAACTGTGAATTTTTTTTAAATCTGCCAAGTAGTTTGTGAGTTATTAACACATACAAAAATACAAATCTTTCCTCTTTATAATATTAGTATACCATAGATTTATTTCCGGATTAGTTTTAATTGCTTGGAGTGACTAGTAATTGCCAGTATCGGCTTTTCATTGACAGATAAAAACATCAAACGACAACCAGCTGATAATCACAAAGCTCCGCCGGAATCTATGACTCAACGTAATTATCTGTAATCCATTCAAAAGGTTTATATTCGACGAAATGTAACGTTAACCACGGCTTTTGAACCATTACTTTTCACTACTGATAAATGAAAAGCTATATTGTACAACCGCGGAAATCCGCGGTAACCCACTTTGAGAAAATACCTTGCTTATTACAAGACAAACTTCGTCTCTTCCTACAGTAGTTTATATCTAAACTAATATTATAAAGAGGAAAGATTTGTATTATTGTATGTATTGACTATCTGTTGCCGTGCGGCTTCGTCCGCATGAAATTGTGAAAATTTTATTTTATTGTTTACATTTGTCAAATTATCAATTACAAATGTCAAAATGACATGACATGATGACAACCTTGCTTCCTTGATGTTGGCAGCAACTTATGTTCTCTTTCCTACATTATGGTTTTTATCCAAAATATTTACCCCCTAAGTTTAATGGCGTGAAAATATATAGCCTAAAGCATGACGTAAGCGTAGGGCTTTTTATTAAAAAAGAATTATTCAAAAATATGCTGTAATTGCTCACATCTTAGGCAACAAAGAAGTGTGTGTTTACGCTTTATTATGTTAGTGTAGAAATAACTCAAAAACTACTATTACGACAAAAGACGATTTTAAATAAAATAAATAAGTTATTTTACTACGTAAATTTGTTTAAAATAGTGAATTAATATTAAATGATAGTGATAAGAATTTGCTTCAGCCAGCACACAAAATGATTGAATAAATAAAGTTTGTTATTTATTCTCATTTAAATTAATATTAATACAATTGTGTATAAAAACAAGATATTATTTTTATACTATTCAAAACATGTTCTTTTTCTCTACTTTCGAACAAGTCACTTAAATTAACATATGTCATTATCTAAATAATCGTATACAGCCAGTTTTACACTGTAACCTCTACATAAAGTAGGTTTTATTTACAACAGATAGTAATTCAAAGGTCATTGTTCTTTACATGATCCTTACCCTTACCTAAATTAAACCGTTTACTATACGTGGTAATAATAAGAGTCTCTTGTTGAATATACAGCCTTGTCACAACACAATGCAAAACAACACAATTACATTGTCGTCCCTCTTAGTGTCCTTAAGAAAACTGAGAGAAATATAATAATGTTGCAGGTAAATTTTTGTCAGTGTCAACTCAAATACGCCTTCACATACAGGAATATACCGAACTTAGTGACCAAGATATAATCAACCATTCTGACTAATTTTTTTTGGGCGGCTATGCTGCCTTTGTGACTTTTGTGGACTAGGTTATAGCCTTCATTTCTTTGTTTAAAACATTTTTAAATTTACATAATTACAACTTGGTTAAAATCTATTTGCAATCTTCTAATAACGAATTACATTAATTAGGAATACTTTTTAAAACTATTTACAGTATTTCTTATTCTATGTCTTATTTCTGTTTATAACTATCCGAGCTAATTTATTGCAATATTTCACAACATTTACGGTTTTTGTCTTCAATAAAAATTCAATTAAAATAATCATTTTTACGATTACATTTCACGAGCAAATGTTCGAAACACTATTAGATTACGAATTTAGTTAAATTGTTATTTAACTATAAATTTTCAATCCAATATTAATTTTTTTATCTATGCTATCTATTTCTATACTATTATAATAAAGCGTAAACACACACTTTGTTGCCTAAGATGTCAGCAATTACAGCATATTTTTAAATAATTCTATATTTAATAAAAGCCCTTCACTTATGTCACGCTTTAGGCTGTATATTTTAACGCCATTATACTTAGGGGAAAAATATTTTTGATAAAATGTGGGAAAGAGACCATAAGTTGCTGCCAACATCAAGGAAGCAAGGTTGTCATCATGTCATGTCATTTCGACATTTGTAATTGATAATTTTATTAAGTGTAAACAATAAAATAAAATTTTCATAATTTCATGCGGATGAAGTCGCACGGGAACAGCTAATTATTTAAACTTAAACTTGCTTACTTGTACGTTCAAAAAGTGGTTATAAAATTGCATCATAATATAAAAGGTTAGTTAGCTTCAATACAGTAAGATTGTAAACTACCTAACTATACAATCTGAAGGTAACATTAATGAGCGACTTTCGCTAGAATTTCGCAATGAAATTACAAGTTTCACAATTTGATACAGTTAATCTTAACTTTTAATTTGCTAAGTAGTTAATCGTAATTGGATATGGGTTTATTAAATTATTTTATTTATATTAGCTATGGTCTGGCTTCCTTTCGTCATATACAGATTAAATAAAGTTAATTAATTGGTATATACAAGTATTATTGGTAACAACCTAAGGTAAAAATTTGCGAAACGTAATATTTAATAATTTTATAGTTTTCAATAAAAAAATATTAGAAAAATGCACGTTCTAGTTTCATGTTTTTAATTACTTTAAGTGGAATTGCAACTCATGTCGGATTCAGTTTGAAATAAAATAAATTTTTGTCATCTAGTCATTGTTTCAACGCACGTCATAGTAATCCACTTTGCGGCAAATGCACGAACACACGATGCCTACCAGAGACAATTTGCACAGAGAATATTTAATTCAAACGCATATAATATTGTAGAACCTACATTGATTTTAAATGGCCAGATTCTTCATTTATTCTCTCAGTGTTATCATTTAGGTAACAGTGCGGCATTTAAACAATCATAAAACTAATAATGTCCTCTGAAATCTATGAAGATTCATGTCTTGTTTCAAATATTTGTGGGCGATGAGCTACTGCCGCTGCTCGTTTGTCCACTTGTTTAAAAAAATCATGGTTGCGTTATCTTCAACAAAAGGCGTTATTATAGAATAGCGCCATCTATCACATAAAAATCCCAACTTTAAAGTAATTTATTGCATTTTTCATGTTTCCATGTTGAAGAAAAAGATGGCGCTGTTAACAGTATCTAATGATTTAAAAATTAAAATGAATAAAATGATTAACAAATGTAATACGTTAATTTTCTCCTAGTTTTATGAATATGTATTCATGCTGAGAAATTAAATATCAATCACTATGTAATTTTAAAACTTGGTTAAAACTATGTTCGGAAAAGTCTATGGTCGCGAATATGACAAGCTGCTGCAAGTTGTTTGTGCTTCTGGAATCTATGATTTTTGAGTGCTTTCATTTTCTTGTAAATTGTAATTTAGACTGTAATTCTTCATTGAATTATTGAAGAAAACTTTATTTCGAAGATACTAACAGTTTACGATTTATCGAACAACCTCCTTGGACCAAGAGGTAAGATTTGAACGTCATTCTACATACAATTAGGTTAAGTTTTTCAACTCCGGCTTTGTGTCTTTTTTATCTTGATTTTTCTTTTGCGATTGTAATAAAACCAACCAAATAATGTCCAATTTTTACCATACCATTTGTCTTAATAGATTTGTGGTGAGCAAAGATACCTTACAGCTTTTAAATTCGTTACCTCCCCATACTTACCAAACATCAAAATAAGTGTAATTACGAAACAAAACATAAAACTAGAACAATTTAAGTGCTTAAATCTTGTGCAATATCTTCACCGAAAATTCCAGAATGTCGAACCAAGACGAATCGCCTTTACCTGAGGGATGGGAGATGAGAACGAGTCGTTCAACGGGTATGACGTACTTCCTCAATATCTATACGAAAAAGTCTCAGTGGGAGAGACCTGAGGCACCAGCGGACGCCGGTGAGATCCGTTGCAGGCATATCCTGGTCAAACATGCAGAGAGTCGTCGTCCATCGTCATGGCGCGAGGAATCAATCACGAGATCTAAAGATGAAGCATTAGAACAATTAAAGGCATATCGTAAGCAGATTGTTGGTAATGAAGCTACATTTGTTGATCTTGCAACTAAATTCTCTGATTGTTCGTCTGCCAAACGAGGCGGAGATCTCGGAATGTTTAAGCGTGGACAGATGCAAGCGCCATTTGAAGAGGAAGCCTTCAAACTTAAAGTTGGCCAGTTAAGTAAGCCAGTAGAAACAGATTCCGGGTTTCATATTATTTTAAGAACTATGTAAATGTCCAAGTTTGTTTCCATTATTCATCTTTGTAATTTTTTCAATACACATTTATTAAATAATTTAGTTTACGAACATCATAAAATAAAACTATTCAGATAAAGAATCTTAAACTTATAAAAAACAACTTGGTTCCTATTAAATTGGGAACTGAAATTTACTATAAAAGACTGGTTAAATATTTTATAATTTAAAAAACATTTTTTATAAGTAATGCTGGACATAAAAAAGATAATATGCCATCCTTATATCTGTAACAAGTTCAAGATGTTATGTTAAAAAGCTTTTAAAATATGATGTTTTACTTTTCTTCATCTTTTTTTTTGAATAGAATATAGAATAAATAAAACCAAGCAGTATCATTCCTAGATCAATATTAGTTGGTAAAAGGGTTTCTAAAAGAAAAAATCAAATAAATATTTAACACTAGAGAATACTGTAATTTGATTTAAAAATGTATAAAGAGTTCTTAATTTTGTTTATATTAAGGCAGTAAAAATGTACTTTAAACTTGTCAATTTCATTCAAATAAAATGTCTCTTTCACTTATTTTATTTTATTTTTAAAGATCCTTTCTTCCCTTGCCATATGAATAAAATACACTGACCTCTATAAATGAACAGGCATAAAATGTGGTATTTGAGCCTATTTGATTTTGCCTTGGCGATGATGGTTGCAGTAGATTTGTTGAGTTGATCGAATCTTAGCATTAACTGTCAGGACTTTCAACAGGTGTGTTTAATTCGGAAAATTGAAATAATTGTCCATTTATGCAGATCAGTGATCAAATGTCTTAGTACTTAATAATTCAATAAGAGGTTTTATTTCATATAATTCATTGGTAGTCTTATTCATTAGAAAATGTTTAAACACAAAAGGGACACATGACTTTAATTCAAAACTTTGTTATATATCAAGGCTTTCTTCCTTAAGAAATAAATATCTTTCTTATTCTTATTATTTAAAAATAGTTTATAAATAATTCTTGCATTGATGAAAATTAAAGTAAATATTATTAGGTAGGGTTTAGGTATTAAATGATAGTTTTCAACATTAATTTTATTTGTTTAATCTTTGCTCACCACATTTTCGTTATTTAAAAACAATACAACTTCAACATTAATTCACATAACTAACAAGTAACCGCTAACAATCATTTGACAATTAATTGATTAATTTGTTAATATTTTTATTAATCTGTTGTAAATTTAACACTAAAGAAGCCAAGCTCGTCCTCTATGAAACCAGCCTTTCCATAGAGGACATTTACATTTTTTATTATCTGTTTTCCGACCAGTACGCATTATGGCACTTAATTTTAAACGCAGTAATTTATGAAGCCATAGACACGGTTACTTTTTAAAAAATTATACTCGTCACTCAAGTCCGTTTAAATTTGTTGTGGGTTGGTTAACATATGCGTTTGGTCTGGATTGTTTCGGATTACAAGAATTGCATCAAGAGTTGATTCCTTAACATTCTGCGGCGCTGGTGTCCAGATCGGGCCGATGATGGGCGGAGAACGTTTCCCTCCCCAAGCGCTGAACTTCACTTTTCTT